TAAGTTTGAATATACTATTTGATAGATTCGACCTTTAGAACTAAGTTAGACTGAGTCAGATTTCTTAACCAATTGAAGTCAACAGAAAATAGAAATCTGGGTGGACAATATAACTATAGATCATATCACCAATATGATATAAATATTAACGCAAATGGGAGAATAATGTTTGAGTTGAATTTGAAAGGCGATAGTGATTTTGATCATGCATATGTTGAAGATCAGTGCTATAAAAACAGAATTTGTATAGGGAGCTGTGAGAAACCAGATGATGGTAAAAATAGTATTAGTAGTATAAAGAGAGAATTGATAAATGAACGAAGTTCAGAAATGAGGAATGATATAACAAAGATAAATGTTTATGATGATAGTCTTGTGAAGTTATTTAATTCAGAGCAATGGATTAAAGCCAATAGTTGTAGAATATTTTGTATAATCCTGGAAGCATATATCAATATGGTGTAGACTGTAATGCTGAAGTAGTAATGGAAGGGAGTTTGAACATTAGTGTTGTATATAAAAAATATATAATAATAGTAGTAAGGATTGAACGAATATTGTGGTGCAATACTGTGAAGAGAAATAAGTTTCGTTGTAGAATTTTTGTATATGATAATTTAGATAATAGAGGTAGATAGAAGATGAACTTTAGATAGAGAATATGGTTGTTACTGTTATGTTTTAAGAATATAAAAAAAATAATAGTATTAATAGTAGTATCTTTGGGAATGAAGTACTAGAAAATCTAGCTCATATGATGATATTTTACAATAACTATATATTTCGTAGTGCTGGGGTTTAACGAATATCACACATCATGATCATGTCTGATTGTAGAACGTGATTAGATGTAAACAATAGAATTAAATAAATAGAGGTTCGATCTTGCAGATCGAACTCATGCTTCAATTTCTTAAATAATAAACCTGTGCCTAGTAAGAACTTCCTAGTACCTTGTTAGAGAAGGTTATGAGAGGATGTTTATTAAGAAGAGGACAGGTAGGAATAAGAAACATAGCAGTGAATAGAGCAAGTGCAAAACTAGATGAACCTCTAAGCAGAATTGAGTATATAACTATATATATTTATTAACTCCACAACAAAATTTTTAAATTTTTTTATAAATTTAAAAATTTAAAATTTTTTTATAAATTAAATTTTTAAAATTTAAAAATTTAAATTTTTTAAAGAATTTTATCATTTATCGCACCTGCGTTGTAACGCACCCATAAGATCCGGTGTAATGTAAAATCAAAACAAACAAACAGTGCATTAATTTAGGGTAAGAGTTAGTACTAATGTAGGATTAGGTTGGATTGTAATTATATATTAGTTATATCCAAAATTTTGCAAGGAATTTTTTTTGTTAGAACGCAAAGGGTGGTTTCATAAGCCAACTTATGAGCTACAATCGATTTTTTCAAAACATTACTATTTTTTTCGATTTCACATTACACCTGATCTTACGATCTGATTGGTCGATCAGGTGGGTGCGTTACAACGCAGTTGCGGTAAATTATATAACCCTTTTTTAAATTTTAAATTTAAAATTTTTTTAAATTTTTAAATTTAATTTTTTTTAAAAAACTTTTTTAAATTTTTAAAATTTTAAATTTATATTTTAAAATTTTAAATAAAGTAATACTTTTTTATTATATCCAATAAAATTACAAAAGCAAACAAGCATATGGCTTAAATGGATTAATTGATAACCCAAATCACAATTAAAGAATCAGTGTACAACAAATTTTTACTTTTATATTTGTTCTCTTAAGCAACTATTTAAATATCTAAGATGCATGTGCAGATGTGGATTGAGTTTAGCAAACTAGATCAGATTTTTCATTTTCATAATCATCAGCACTGATTCATCAGTATATTTTTTTTTATGACTTTCAATTGGTTAAGAAATCTGACTCAGTCTAACTTAGTTCTAAAGGTCGAATCTATCAAATAGTATATTCAAACTTA